AAACCTAGGTACATGAGGTTGTTATTATAAGCATGATAGCTAAATGTTTTTTTAAAAAAATCATGATCATCATCTTCATTCCTAGATAGGTATTAATTATTATATTTACTAATCAAGTCACAATTGTTATCCATTTAGGAGCTAGCATAATTTTATATTCATGTTGTTGAAGTTCTCGATGGAGTTTTAACTTCATTGGTCATAGACATGGAGGACATTTGGTGGATAATGTCTATTAATGAAATAGTGTTAAAATGTGGATGTTCTTGATTTGCAGACATCATTTTAATGCTACCCGTATCTATGGTCATTTTGAATGAACTTGTGAATATTTATAAAGTCAGCATATAAAAATATCATGATTTTTATTTGTATATTAAGAAGAAAAAGTGAAAAATAGTGAAAATTGTTAAGAGAATGAAAGGTTTCTTCATAATATATCAATTTTATTAGTGCTTGAAGGAACATGGACTAGAAATGCAATAAAAAAGATAACAAGTACTTAGAAGTGAAACTCCATAATGTTAGTAAATCTATTTTGTTTTATGAACCAAAATTTATAATTTTGAAGGATTTTCTTTATAAAGACAGGTTCTTTTATTTTTAATAATTTATTAAACACGTAGAGTATTCTCAATTTTAAATTTAAAATATGTATATAACTAGTTAACATCCACATTATTGTCAACTAACTTTTTAATCACTATATAATTGATATCTCTCCTTTTATTTTAACCTTAACAAAGAATTGAGCATTATGGGTATTGTTCTCAACATCAAGGAAGGTGCTATAACATAGTTTGACTTGGGCTTGGATTCCAAAAGAAAAACATTGTTGCCCATAATTTAACCAAAAGCCATTCATAATGTTTTTGATTTATCATTACTCTTTGTTGCTTGGACATTGTAAATTTGGGCTTCTTCCCTTTTGTGTAATGTTATTTTTACATTATTTCATTAGGAAAAAAGAAAAGAACCTTAATTAAGAAAATTTTTAACTGTTAAAAAAAATAAAATTGAGAAGTAATGATAAACAAAATCATAAGAAACAAAGTGAAGGGTGAGTATCTCTTTCATTTCTTGGTGACATGGAGGCTGGCAGCAGTAATAACACAAGCAGCTTCACCCTCAGACAATGCACCGCCAGCAGGGGTGGGAGCATCGGTGGCTCCACCGATCTGGTCAAGCTTGACAGGGAGGTGGCCGGAGGTCCCATAGCCATTGTGCTTGTAGTCCTCCAAATCACTATATTTCAAATACGGACTACTCTCCATTGGCAGCCCTTCCACTAGACTTTCTTTCTTCTTCTCTGCATTTCTTTCTTCTTCATTTATTCGCATCATTTGTTTACTATTGTTGGTTGACATTTCTCTTTTCTGTTTGTCTTTATCTTTTATCTTCAAATTGTATCAAACCATGGCCATTTTATACACAAGCTAACAAATAATGTCCAATAACTAACTAGTAAATCATGTCCAATAACTAACGAAATTTTTGGAGGATATTCTGACTTTTTCAACAAATTTCGTTAATCAGTACTAAAATTTTTTCCTTTTATTTTATTTTTTGAAAAAAAAGAGTGAAGAAAAACAATTAAATTTTTATCAATTACAATCATGTTATAATTCTTTTGTCCTTTGGTTAAAATCAAGGACAAAATATGTATTTAATAATTAAAAAGAATGTATCATCATTTCAATTAACAATTTATTTTTTTTAATAAGAGTATTTTGAAAGTTTTACGATAAAAAAACTTTAGGACAGTGACAAAATATATATTGTTTTGTTTTTATTTGGTACATCAAAGATTGTATAACTATAAAAAAATAAATTATAATTATCGTTTTTATTAAAAAAAAAAAAAAAATTTGTTATAACTATATAGCACACTTCTCATGTCCAAATTTTGTACGAGGTATAACAGTGCAGTATTTGTATTATGTGATTGTTAAATTTTTAATTGCTTTTAGGCTGCAGTAAATACCAAAATTTCGAATATACCAAAATCCCAATATTTCTCAGATCGTAGGAAATATATGGAGACAACATTCAAGTAAGTAGTTTTATAAGTATATAACTAATTAAAATATTAGTCTTGCTAAGTAATTTAAATTTATTAAATTCAATTTTTTCAGGAAATTATCTGCAAGCAGATGTAGCTTCGTAATTAATTTATTTGCACAATTACAAAAGTCTTATTAGAGGTTGGTAAAATATACAAAAATTACTTTATTTTTAGAGAAGGAACAAAATAAAAGTCTTTACTTTACAAGCTACTATGTACTTTGCACATAAATTTTAAACTTAGGTGTTAACTTAAAAAGCAACAAAAAAATTAAATTTAACAATAAAATTATCACATTCGCTTTGTGACTTATTTAAATAATAACAGTGTACAACATTTATAAAATGAATTAGTAATTAATATTAAGAGAAATTGTTTAAAAATAATTTTACTGATTTATTTAAATTATTCTCTCCGTGGATGATGATGGAGGAAATTTATTTTGTTATAAATTTAAATTAAGATAGACAATGCAATTTGGTTAGGTTTAATATATTTGGTTAAAATCTAGAGATTTTTTCTATGTATGTGCAAAAATCAATCTTATAATAAAATCTATGTATTTGGTTAAAATCTATATATATATATATATATATGAAAAAATCAATCTTACAATAATAAAAGTAAAATAAATTATATGTTTACGAATCAGAACAAATTTAATACATCACCGAGCTGTAATCTCCATTTTAAAATAAAAGACTCATCACTATTTAAATATAATTGAGTTCAACATGATCAATAATCTCATCTTTAATAGATACGAAAGAAGAGAGACTTTTATACAAATATCAAGTTGATTTGTACGGCAAATTTGAGTACTCTGTTTTTTTTTTTTTTTTTGTTACTATATTAATTGTGATTATTTTAATTCAAAGTTTGTGCTCTAATAGAGTGATGGCTCAGTGCGGGACTAACTTTTTTGAATTAGAGGCAAAATGTCAAAAGCTTGTTATGATTCCAGGACCTAAAATTCCTCCATCAGCTAATTTAATATTCCATGCATTTGCAAGTGTTAATTATCAGCATAGAGAAAGCAGTTTTTGTCGCTAGAACATGTGGCGGCCTCACGGTTTAACCAATAATGAAATGTGAAAGTAAGTTTATCATTTTTATTTTAAATTGAATTTGGCGTTTTTAATAATTTATACCTCAATTTTTTAAATTTTAATAGTAAAAGTTGAATTTTTTAACTAAAAAATTGAGGAATAAATTGTAAGTTTTTTTTTTTTTTTTTTTTTTTTTTTTGTTGTGTTAATAATTTTTATATGATTGATATAGTTAATACAATTCCACCAACAAAAAATAAGAAGGCATGAAGATGAAGATTTGATGGATGAAGTTATGAGTGAAAATGCTTTGATGTTATCACTAAATAAGAAATGTTAATAATTTCATGTGATTCATGTATTTAATTTTATTTGATAATACATAATATACATATATATTTTTTTTATTAAAAAAAAAAGAATAAAAATTTAAGAATAAAGTTGTTTTCTATCTCTTCTTTGTTTAAGTTGTATGAGCTTAATTTTATTTTAAAAATAATTTTGTTGTCATTCCAAATCGAAATTGAAACTAGACAAAGTAAACCCTTCCATTTTGAGATTGCTTGGGAGCCTCACCCAAACAAAAATATATAGTTGGGATAATAACGGGAAGATCCATTTCCTCCTTTATAGAGAAAGCTAGAGTGTAGACCAGAACAGTATTCATGATTTATATATTTTTTGTATTTTTGTCTTAATATTTTTCCAAAAAGTTAAACCTCTTCAACTTGTTGAGCCTATCAGAATCATCAAGACAGAAAATGGTCATGTTTTACTCAGCAGTTTCAAGGAACTCTAAGCAGGGTCGTATTGTTTTGGGTTCACACATGGGATTTATCAGGTTTAGGTGATTAAATGATTTCGGTGCTTCTATTTAATTTTTTATTTCAAAAAATTTAACCACAATAAAATTATAATTAAATATGACAGGCACTTATAACAAACAAGTGTTAATCAAAGATTATCATTAAGTATGCATATTGTATATCTAGTTCCTTCCAATACTATTCTGCATTTTATAACTTCAAATGACAATGGCATTTTACTCTATGAGCTACACAATAAGCTTGTTTGTTCCAATGCCAGCCAGCACATAGTTTCTTTAGAACGTATAATCTATTTACAAATTATATAACCTTTTTTTTTTAGCCATGCTTATCCTTTTTCGTGCAATCTTGATAAGCATATCATTTTACTTTTGTGTATCTACTTGAAAGACATCATCAACAAACCATTCTTATGGTATTTGGTTTTTTTTTTTTTTTTTTTTTTTTTTTGCCCCATATTTTTTTGGGCATGTAAATGATTTCATATTATCTTTAGGAGTTATGAGTTATCTATAGATCGTTAAAGATGTGTGGAGGCTTGTAATAAAATTAATAGCAAAAAAAAAAAAAAATTAAAAATAGTAATAAAATAACTCAATATATACTCATATATAAATAAATTAAATAGGAGTTGATTGTATTTACATATAGATGAAAAAGAAGAAAAAAATAAACAGTAATGAAAATTCAAATATTAAATATCTTTCTTTTATATCATAGTAAATAAAAACTTATAGGTAATTGTTCTAAAACTTTCTTTTATATATTACTATTTATTAATTCTATAATGTAATAATTATTAAAAAAAATTGTGATTAAGTTTAAGTTATGCAGTCGTTAAGACCTATAGTACATGTGTTATTGATGCGGTAACATGACACATTATTTCTTGATTGAAATCAAAGTGGTTTCTCAATTATTTTGTAAAAATGCTACAATCAAAATCTATCCATTTTAAACTTAAATCGAGATTATGTTGTTAAATTTAATATGATTATTGGTATAATTTAAATGTGCAAAATATTTTCATCACAATAATTAAAAACGATGGTGAATAATTTTACTTTTAAGTAATTGTCATACTTTCTTTTAAATCAAAAGTTTTTTTTATAGAAAGAAAAAGTTTTTTTTGTAAAATAAATTATGATAATATTCGAGCCCACTTGAGCTCAATTTTCTCATATTTACAAATTCATAATATAAATAACCTTAACTATTAAATATGTAGATTTTTCTAAAGATTTCCATGTATTAAAATGAGAAACATAAAGTTAGATTGAGTGATCAATTAATTTATTTGAAATTAACTAATTTAAATTTCATTATGAACGTAGAGTGTATTGTTAGAAAAAATTCCAATATATGGGTATACATATGTGATTTAATATGTATTGCTATCTTAAAATATAGTTAATTTAATTGGTAGTCTAATAAAATTGATAATTAACTTTAAGATATTGAATTGTCATGGATTTAATGTATAAAGAATAAATTATTATTTCTAATTTAATGAGAGACTAAATTAAAAATAATGAAAATACGTATTTTTTCATATATCTTTTTAAAGGGATATGGTCTCCAATTTAAAACTGTCAAATTTTTTTTTTTTCCTCAATTCAATAGAAAAATTTACAGATTATGAAACTTTTTTAAATTAGAAGAATCAAACTCTAACACATAAAAAATATTCAATTTCACAATGAATCAAATTACGTTGCTATCACCATGAATTATTATGTCCCTCGTGCAATGTTGGCGTTGCATCACAATTATTTTTTTCACAATGTCCCAAGGGACTTTCAGATCTGTATTGGACCAATATTATGATTGATTATATAAAAAAAAATGCATCTTAATATTGCAGCACATTATGCATAGAGCACGAATTGGGCAGCACGCTATCATCATCATGTGATTGTTATTTTAATTATTCATGGCCCATATATATATATATATATATATATATATATAGTTGTTGATGTATATATATGGTAATATAGCCCATTAATATATTATATATTATATTTTGATTTAAAGCGTAATTGCATGTTCATGATGTTTTTAGTATTGCTGACACATTTAAGAATAATTCAAATGTATATGTTGTACGTGAAATGCCATGTATATGCGCATGTAAAAAATTTGGATATTGCAATAACATCTTTGGTGCAACAACACTGTAAGCAAGTTGAATAAATAATATTTTATACATATTTATAATCTATTAAGTTTGTCTAACATTTAATATAATTAATTGAAACAAAATATTACCAAAGTAACCTTTCTTGTATAGATTAGCTTATAAAAAACGTTACAATGTTTGATTCATACGAATGTTAGTTGGCTCAAATGAATGGTAACATTTTTCCAAATTGCATAGACTTTTGTGGTGATGAATGTGTAACAATTATAAGGTTTTCATATGAATAATAAATTGATCTAAAGATAGACTTATTATTTGATAGGATTTATTATTAATATTTGATCATTCCACTAAGAGTACCACTTACAAGTTGATATTATCGTATAAAGACTTTATACTAATCTTGTACTAGATATCTTGATATGTATTCAATAATTATTTAAAAGTTATAGATTAATTTTTTGGCTTGTTATGTGAACATATATGCCTATTTGATTCACTCCCCACACAGCAATCATGTTTGCCACTACTGTGTCTGCTAATGCAGATAGTATTCTCATACTTAATGGTTCAAATTTTAAGGATTGAAAAGAGAACTTGTTAATCGTTCTAACCTGTATGGATCTAGACCTTGCATTGAGAACTGAGCAACCCCCCTCCTTTTACGGCTAAAAGTGCTTTTAATGCTAGAATATACTTTGAGAAGTGGGAACAGTCTAATTGCTTGAGTCTAATGATCATTAAGTACGATATTCTCGAAGCCTTTAGAGGGGCAATATCTGACAAGATCACTAATGTAAGTGAGTTCACTGTAGAAATTGAGAAATATTTTACAAAAAAAAAACGATAAAGTTAAAACAAGTACGCTATTAGTTAGCTTAATTTCAATAAAGTATACAGGTAAGGGAAATATTTAGGAGTATATCATGGAGATGTCTCATATTGCTTCAAAACTTAAGGCACTAAAGTTCGAATTTTCAGAAAAATTATGCATTTAGTATTAATATTAGTTCCTGCACAATACAATCAATTCATAGTCAGTTATAACTGTCAAAAGTATAAATGAATTCTCAATGAGCTCATTTCATATTGTGTGCAAAAGAAAGACATTGACATAAGAGAAAACTCAAAGTGCTCATTTGACTAACAACTCTAAAAATAAAGGCAAAAATAGAAAGAATGATAATAAAACTGCTAATAGTCTTAGGTAAAAGAAACTTAAAGAAAAAAAAAACATGTTTCTTTTATGGAAAGCTTGGACATGTAAAGAAGGATTGTGCCAAATATCACGTTTGGTGTGCAAAGAATGTTACATTTCTTACTTTGGTTTATTCTTAAGTTAATTTAGCTTATGTCCTTATAAACACTTAGGGGTTAGATTCTTGTGCTACTAATCACATAAATGTTTCTATACAGGGTAATATGAGCTGCAAAAAGCCAATTGATACTGTCGGCCCCCCCTCCCCCTTTCTTCTTTTGGGGCGTGTATGGAGCACACTTATACTTTATACTTAATTAACTAATAAAAATTAAGTTGTATTAATATACAGAGGATGTATAAGCATTATATCCCTTAAATAATATACGTCGCTACAATACAATACGAGGTTCTAAAGTTTTTCTTTTCTTACAATACAAAAGTACAAACTAGTAATTTTTTGCAAAGTCTCGACTTAATTTCTATGCCTTTTCTCTCAAAAATCTGGTAGAGTTTTGGGATATTTTTGAGTAATATCTAACCTCAAAAATGTTAATCATATCATTTAAAAATCATCCTCAAATTTTCAAGAGAAATGGAATTAAAATGAAAGAGAAAACTCACCTTAAGCCCGTGTGTTCTCCCTTGGTTGGCTGTGAGCTTTTGCTCTCCTTTTCTTTTCCTTCTTCATTTTTCTCTTTTCCTTCTTCTTTCTTCTTTCTTCCGTTCACAATTTGAGTAAATGTTTTTCAAGGAAAGACTCACAAGTTCCGTCAATTTCCCTCACTTTTATTGGGTTTATTCTCCTTTCCTCCTTATTTTCTCTTCTCTTTCTCTCTCTAACCTTTCTTTCTCTCAAGTCCAGAATTGTTTTCCCTTTTTCCCACACCCCTATTTATAGGGAGGGACATCCATGCAAGTTGATAAGCATGAGAGAGGTGGCAAAACATGTTTGGCCACTTAAACCTCTTCAAGCTTTATCCTTATCCTTATCTCTTACTTTCCTTAGTCTTTAAGTAATTCTAGAGTATTCTAATCTTATCCAGACTCCATCTATGTCTTATCCACCTTCCAATAGCTTTCATACCAAATCTAGGCCCCATTCGATATGTTTTAGGCCGCCTTAAGCCCACTTATACCCATAAGGCCCAAAACCGCATTCCATGCACATGCCTTCACTTCAAATAGCCATAACTCCCTCAATTCTTATGATTTTCCAGCCAATTTTAGGCTCAAAATGACCACATCTGGCCCATCTAAGGTCCATATGAGCCCTAAAAAGTCCAAACTGCACTCAAAGTTAGACCCATGCCTATACCGTTACTTCAAAACTCTATAATTTGCCCAATTCTTAATTCTTTTAGGAAAACCTATACTTCATGTGTTCCTCAAGTAGGCTGTTATCACATGGTTTTGGTTTGGGCTTCATCTAGGTCCATTTAGCCCACTTGTGGCCCAAAAAAGCCTAAAAGGTCAAAACTATCCTTCATGTGCATGTCTCTCGGGTTTGGACTCATTTCTCCCATATTTTCTTCTATGGACAATTTTCTTTTTCTACAAATTCTTCCTTGATATATTGGCTAGTTCTTAGCAAAATTTGAGTATTAAATTCTAAGTATTTTAGTCTCAAGACATAAGTCAAGCTAAAAAGGCCAAAAAGAGCTCCTTAAAGGATTTTTTACCGATTCATCATCCAATTATTTTCTCGCTTTTTTAAAAGCATTTTTTTTTACCTTTTATGAGGTCTTTATAGCCTCGAGAAGCATTTTTAGGCCTTCAAACTTAGCTTTCCCTTGTGAGTGAAAATTTCTTCTTAAAGGATTTTAGTTATCCAAATCTTATCGTTTTTGCTCCACTTAACTTAAAACCTAATCTTTAACCTTGTTACATCTCTCTATATACATATACATGCGTACATAACTATATAAAACACAAAAAAATTCGTCTAAAGAAAATTTGGGTCTTTACATATACTGAAAAATACATCTACGTTGGTAATGGCAAATAAGTGAAAGTTGAAACAATCGAGCATTTAAAGCTATTATTAAGAACCAGTTGTTATCCAAATTTGAAAAATATTTTTGTTGTATCATCATTTATTCGAAATTTGATTTTTATTTTCTTGTTGAACAAATTCGGTTACTACTGTTCCTTTTGAAATAATCAGTTTACTCTTTCATTCAACTCTAGCATAATTGGTACCGGTTCATTAAGTACATTTGATAACCTGTATTTACTTGATACCATTGCGTCATATAATGAAACCTTGCATGTGGATTCACGTGGTACTAAATGTAACCTAAATAATGATAATTTAGCAAAGTTATGGTACAAGCATTTGGGTCACATATTTAAATCTATAATTAAATGACTTGTGCCAAAAAGTATTTTATATTCATTTAACGTTTTAGACTTAGATGTCTGTGTTGAGTACATTAAAGGAAAGTTGATCAAACAAAAGAGACTAGGTGCTAATAAATCCTTGGGCATCTTAAAATTGATACATACGCATACCTGTGGCCCATTTCCTTTGGCTTCTTGGAATGACCAATAATATTTTATATCATTCATAGATAATCACTCACGTTATGGGTATCTATATCTTGTTCTTGAAAAGTCGGAATCACTATACATGTTTAAGAATTTCAAAGCCAAAATTGACAACCAACTTAGTAAAAAAATTAAGTGTGTTAGATCTGATTATGGTGGTGAGTACTATAGTAGATATGATGGTTCAACAGAACAACGTCCAGGGCAAATTGCTAACTATCTAAATGAATGTGGAATCGTTCCACAATACACAATGCCAAGTTCGTCCAACATGAATGGTGTGGCTGAATGATGAAACATGACTCATAAAGATATAGTCAGGAGCATGGTTAGTCATTATACCTTACGAGAGTCACTTTGAGGAGAAGCATTAAAGATAGTAGCTTATATCCTTAAAAGAGTGTTGACTAAAGTAGCTGCTAAAACACCTTATGAGCTTTGGACAGGCCAAAAGCCTAAATGAAGCACCTTCATACTTAGGAATCTCCATATGAGGCTAGGCCTTATTGAACAAATGAAAAAAAAAGACTCTAAAATAATAAGCAGCTACTTTATTGGTTACTCAGAGTGATTTAGGAGTTACAAGTTTTATAATCCTGCAACAAAAATAATTTTTAAAACGAGAATTTTAATATTATTTGAGGATGTTGAGTTTGAGGGGAGAATTAAGGTTAGGTATGTTGTCTTTGAATAAGAATAGGTTCTGATCCCTACTACTGCTTCTAACAGTATAAAGGTCCCAATACCTGTCAATGCTCAAGAAACATATATGGAACCAATACAAGACAATATTGAAAAACTCCCTACTCAAGTTGAAGAGATTGTTTCTGGAAAACAAACTCAACAATCTCAAAAGTTAATGCCACTAAGAAAATCCACGAGAAAGAGGAGAAATGTTATTTTGAATGACTATATAATATTTATCCAATGGCATGAGGATACTAATGCAATGGTGGAAAATGATTCAATCAATTTTCATCAAGCCATGTAGGATTCTAACTCTAAAAAGTAGATCGATGTAATGAATAAAGAGTACAAGTCTATATAAGACAATCAAGTTTGGGATCTTGTCTTGTTACTAAAGTAAGAATTGGTTATAAATGGATATTTAAGACCAAGAAGGATTCAAAAGGTAATGTGGAAAGATATAAAACTTTTCTTGTAGCTAAAGACTTTACTCAAAAGGAGACTTTTTCTCTAGTTTCACCAAAAAAATATTTTAGGAGAATCATGGCTTTTGTTGTACGTTTTAATCTTGAGTTACATTAGATGGATGTTAAGACAACGTTTTTCAGTAGTGATAATAATGAAATAATCTATATGGTGCAACTAGAAAACTTTATGTCTGGTAACCCAAAGAAAATAGTTTGCAAATTAAGAAAATATATTTATGGACTCAAACAGACTTCTCGTCAATGGTACCATAAATCTCATCAAGTAATTATCTCATTTGGTTTTGAGATAAATATTGTTGAAGATTGTATATATCATAAGTTCAGTGGTAGTAGATATATATTTTTAATTTTGTATATTAATGACGTATTCCTTGCTGCCAATGATAAGGAAATATTGCATCAAAGAATTTTAAAATAAAAGATCTTGGTGAAACTTCTTTTGTTTTAGGAATTCAAATATATGGGGATCGTTATTAGGGTATTATTGGATTATCTCAAAAAAGCTATACAGAAAAAGTGCTTAAAATATATGGTATGCAAAATTGTAAACCAAGGATACCCTTGTTGCTAAGACAAATAAATTCAATCTTAATTAGTGTCCTAAGAATGACCTTAAAATTACAAAAATGCAAAAGATTCCATATGCTTTGATAGTTGGGAGTATGATGCATATTCATGTTTGCACACGTCTAGACATAACATTCATTATTAGAATATTAGGCAAATATTTAAGTAACTTTAGGATGGATCACTGAAAAGCAACCAAAAGGTTATGAGATACTTACATATAACTAAGAGTTACATGATTACATATAAGAGGTTAGATCATTTGAAGATCATTAGGTATTCAGAATTTAACTATGCTGGATATTAAGATAGTAGGAGATCTATTTCAAGCTACATTTATATGTTTGTTGGATGAGTTATTTCCTGAAATAGTGTTAAACAAACGTTTATAGCTTCTTCACAATAATAGCTGAATTTGTAGCATATTATGAGGCATCTAACTATGGATTATGGCTGTGAAATTTTATCATTGGGCTGCACATCTTAAGTGGTATTGAAAAACTACGAAAGTTATATTGTGACAATAATTCAATAGTTTTATATTCCAACAACAATAGGAACTCGACCTGGTCAAAACATATTGACATAAAGTTTCTATTTGTTAGAAAAAGGGTACAAAGTGCACATAAATCTGTATAACACATTTAGACAAACTCCATGATTGCAGATCTACTTACTAAGGGATTAACACCGAAAGTCTTTCATGAGTATACTATTCATATGGGTGTTGTATCATTTGAGGACATTCTGGTCTAGTGGGAGTTTATTTGTGTGTATTTTATTACTCTAATCTATATTATGGACACATGTTATATATTCAGATATTTTTTAGAGAAATAAAATATTGAATTTATTCACACTCTATCTTATTATGTTAAAGTTTGATTTCAATAAAATTTAAAATATGATCAATTAGAAATAGACATACTTAGATCACATTACATATAACTTCTATTCGAGCATCTATGATTGATCTATGTCATTTGATATATTAATATGTGTGACTACTGGTGAATTTAATTACGTTAAATGTCATAATACCTTATATAATAGTAAAATTTTGAGCTCATATAGTTGTACACATTTATAAGGCAACATATGTGGCCCAAGTGGGAGATTGTTAGAAAAATATTCCAATATATGGGCACCCATATGTGATTTAATGTGTATTGTTATCTTAAAATATAATTAATTTAATTGGTGATCTAATAAATTTGATAATTAATTAAGGTATCAAATTGTCATGAATTTAATGTGTAGATATCAAATTATTATTTCTAATTTGATGAGGGGTTAAACTAGAAATAATAAAAGTATGTATCTTTTCATGTGTCTTTTTATGTGCCTTTTTAAAGGGTTATGGTCCCCAATTCAAAATTGTCAATATTTTTCTTTCGCCATTCAATAGAAAAACTACAGACACTAAGATTAGTTTAAATTAAAAGAATCAAACTCTGATTGATGCGGAACCCAAGATCAACCAACATGATCAGGAACCCACATAATTTCATTTAAAAGCATTGACGAAATTGATCCTATAAAAAATTTTCTTATTTA